TAAGTGGCTCCAGTCCTCTAAGCAGAAGGGTGGACCTGGTCAACTGCCCGTGTCTTTTAGTGGTGTGATGGGAGTTTCTCTCTCTCTCTCTCTGCAGTTGTTTGTCATAAAGGACTAAAAACACTAAACACAATCCAAACTTCTGAGATCAGTATGTCCTCAAATGATTATAAGAGTTCTTTAGGAGGAGACATGGAGATTAAATGAGGGAAAATTATGTAATGAAATACAGATATGGGGAAATCTGCTGCCAGATAAAGAAAGTCCTCAAAAACTGCCTGGTGCCAGAAAGCTCCTAAGGACTTAGCTGAGAGTGGAAGGCAAAATGAAACCGAGATATTTAGGACACAGATCCTATTTCTGCAGCCCTTTTAAAAGATGCCATAACTGTGTTAGAAGCCAGGCATCTCTAAAACAAATACCCTATTCCTGGGTTGGTCACACACCAAGATAGATACCATTAGGCCTGATGGCTATACTGTTGCTAACAATTTCCCCGGCATTAGAAAAATCAAACATTACAAACAGCTTTCAACATCACTAATAATTAAGAGGTACAAATTAAAATATGAAGGGTTTTTTTTTTTTTTTTTTGGCCTACAGATTAGCCAAATTGAAAAAAAGGTAGAGTACCCAGTTTTAGCAAGGGTGTAGAGAAAGCGGCCCACTCACGTACTGGCTATAGAAGAACTGGTCAGGGATGGAGGGCTACTTGATATCTGAAACATTAATCATTTGGGGGCCAGCAGATTCTACTTCTTAGAATTAGTCCCACAGAAACTGCACAAGAGGGGGCAGGGAGAAGAACAAGGAAGGTGGTGCAGCAGTGTCCTGAGTGAAACACCGGGTATGCATGTCCACCAAGCGGAAGCTGTTTAAATACACGATGGGTTGTCAGGCAAAGGAAAACTGTGCAGCTACTGAAAAGGACACATGGAAATATACATATAATGCTAAGGGGGAGAAGCAAGTTTCAAGAGAGTCCACATGAAAGGGCCCTTGTTAGGTTAAAAATTGGATGTAGTCAATGTTTTAAAGAAGCCATGTTTTGGTCTGCTGGGTCTGCTGAGTACACACCTTCTCTCTTTTTCTGGGACCTACCCTTTCTCTTTTCTGTCCATGCGGCTCCTGTGGGAACTGGCAAGGCCACAGATGACAGGGGTAGGCACTTTAGCTCAGAGGGCAAGAAGTCTCTTCCCAGTATTTCTTACTTGACACCAGGGAAAGCAATTAGCCTCATGTACAAATGCAGGTAGTGTGCTGGTCTTGTCGTTTGGGAGGAGATGAAAGCCAAGTGTGGAGGCTGCACAGGCTGGGTGCAGTCTGGCCATGCTGTGCTCAGGTGTTTGGTTCCACGGATGCTCAGGCTCAGTGCAGCCCTCTCTCTGCCTGCAGCCTGGGTCTGCAGCTCCTGTGTGGCTGACCCAAACAATATCCTTCCAGCAGGACTTTTTGTTTAAGCTATGTAAGTCCCTTATGTCATTTGCAACCAAGGGTCTTCACTAATAAAAAGTGGACAGTTAAATCTGTGGAAATGTACCCCTAAACAGTTTGTAGTATCTTTTCCATCGTATCATGGAGAATTTTATGTAATGCTTGGTTTTAATTGCTTATTTATTTTTACAATGAGCATATAATTCTTTTGCAATTAGAAAGTTAGGTCTTAAAAAAGAAAAAGAAAAAAAAAAGCATTTTAGGTCTCTACCTAGTTTTCATAGAGCCTAAAAGATAAGTGACAAGGATGTTTGAGCAGGAGGCCCTAGCACTGTGCTGTCATGTTGGAGAATGTACTTGAGGAGGACTTCAGAATTTACTCACGTGCTAAGCATTAATCCCAAGTCTTCAGATGGACTCTCTTGTGACTTAGATGGGGGACACACCTCTCTTTTTCAGAAGGAAGTAAAGACGACTATTGCAATAGCCAGATCGCGTCCGACTCTCACTCCCTGAAGCTTGCTGATGGTGGTGGCACAGGCCTATCCTAGCTGTTTTAACCCCATTCATCATTTCAACGGACAGGGTTCCACTGTTTTCAACCTTTCTTTCTGTCCCAAAGAAACTTGATCTTAATGAAGGCTAGCTGTGAGGGTGAGGGTGAGGGTGAGGGCTGGGCATCTTGAGCTCCACTGCCCTCCATTCCAATTTGAGGATCACGCCCCTATGTGAGTGGTCAGCCAGGTGGTGTCCTGCTCTCTGGAGGTGCCCAGGGCTCACCGTGAGGCTCCCAGCCCCCTTCTCACATGGCTCACAGCAGTCCCCACCTGATGGTAGGACAAAAGGGACTCAAGTCCAGTCTCAGGGCAGACTCGCTGAGGCTCAGTTTGTCTTGGCCACATGTCCTTTTGTAGATTCTGATTGATGGCTGTGCTTCCACCAAATGGAGTAAAATTGTAATGCTTGACAAAAATAGTAGGCTTGATTAAGAATTCCTATCCCCATTTCCCAACAATTTAGTCCATTTGCCTCTCTGTTGTGATAATGTTGACAAAGCTATCCAGGCCATCAACATTACCTACTCTGTCCATTAAGACAGTGACACTTTTTGATGAGGCCATGGCTGTATTTTTCAAAAGTGAAACAGCCGCGGCCCTGGACTCCTGCCAACAGTCGACTGATGGGCTAGCTACCGTTTTTATTCTCCTTGCTGGTAACCACTCTTCTGCTGCTCCTTTCCAAAACTATGATCCATTAGTCATCAGGAGCTGTCCATGTGCTGCCAGAAAGGCCTCCGGAGGCCTGATACTCAGCATTCCTTTCCTGAGATCTCTGACGAACAGCTGACCGACATTCTGATTAGAATTCTCTATGCCAGTTGGTTATGGTGGGAAGAAAGGGTATTCATGAAGCCACGTAAGGCACCAACTCAGAAAGCTCCTTTTCTTTCTTTCTCCCATAAACTTGACATGGGAGAATGTCTGAACTGGGATGGCAAGACTTAAAAACAAAATTAATTATTATAGTTATGAAAGGGGTTGGTGGTTTGAGGCTTCCTTCTGAGCCTGTGTTTAGCATAAAGTGGTCCAGTTGTGTCCTGTCCTAAGAATGTGGGGTACACATGAAAGCCCTGTATATGGTCCTTTTGTATCCACTCTGAGCCACTGATTTGGGTGGGACTATGAAATAATTTTTAAGGAAAACTGAGAGAAATCTGAGCTGAAGTCCTCAGTACATTGATGGGAAGACCCATTTGAGACTGAAATTAGTTCAAGGAACATTTGTTAGTGAGGCCATGCTTGAATATAGAGACTGCTGAGTTAATCTCAACAAGTAGAAATATATTACCTAAAATTAAGTTTCTCTAAGAAAATTGCCTCAGAATCAAAGCTCATCTATGTGTTAAAGTTTTTCTAACAAATATCCAAAACCAGGATTCCCACTAAGTGGACAGTGAGAGTTCCCGCTTCTGACTGACTCCAACTTTGTCTCTAATTTAGATGAAAACAATACAATTATTTTGGGAGTATGGAGGTATGAGCAAAAATCTGTGACACTCACCTTATAAGCTACTGAAGCAGCACACATTTCCTATCGACCTCATTCTCATGCTCACTAATTCAACAGAACAAGATCACAGACAATGTGAGAACTACATTTCTATCCTAAATGAACGTGGAAATTATAGATTATACACATCTGGAATAGTCATTAAGAAGAACATCTGCTTTCTGTGTTTAAACAGAAAAATATGGTTTAAAAAAAATAAATTACAATCTGTGCTTCACTGAATAAGACAATTATTGCTGGAGTCAAGAGAAAATATGTCGCTTGTGTTTGTGGGCACCCGGCCAAGTGCCTTATTGGGAATGTCCCCTCTCCTGAGGCACCAGGTCCAGAACAGGTAAATGGACGCGCTGAGGCAGATGGGATGCACTTTCCAGGGGGAAAGAGATGGGACATTCCATTGTTTTCAGACACCAAGAAAATATCAGTATTTCTCCTTTGGCTCTTGAGAGTCAATCTATCCTTATGTGGTTCTCATCACGTGATCTGCAAATATACACTGTTTTAATGGCATGAGAGCCAACCTGGTATAGTGTAAAGAACAATATGCTTGGTGTTGAAGTCCTGGGTTCGAGTCCTAATTTACTTCGTATTTATCAGCTATTGACCTTATTTAGGCAAGTCACTTATACATCTCTGAGCCAAGGTTTCCTCACTTGTGAAAATGGGTAGGTTACCCTTCCTGTCTTTTAAGATTTGGTTATCACATGAGAATCACTAACAAAGTACTTCTTAGACTAAGAACTGGTATCTAAAGGGAAGGCATTCATGTTTTTAGGGCTTTGGTGGCAATAAATGAGACAAGATAAACTCTAAAAGGTTGAATTCTGACCCTCCATCCCCATCCAAAAGAATCCAAAAGCTCCAGCAAATTACACTTAGCAAGGTCTTCACTGTTTTCCTCATTATCTTTTTCAAGAACTCAGTTCAGTTTTCTAGATTCACAGACTTGAACTCAGGTTCATGACTGAGTTGAGTGCCTGTTAGGTACATGTCATGAATATGGCACCACTCTATGAGGCAAACGAGATGAGAGGAGAGGAGGGTATTATTGCTTGAGGAGAGTTTACAGAGGACAAAGGCACAAGGAGAAGGGCAGGGATGGAGCCTGTAAATAGGACGCAGTGGTCTGGGTCTTGATTACTGACCATTTGCAGCAAACAGCTACCCCAAATGCTTCTTGGAAACCAATCACTAGAAAAAAATGGACAACAGAACAAAACAGGAGAAACCAGATAGAAAGATAGGTTTGGGTTCTACCCCTATCACTTTGTTGAACAAATCTGCAGTTTCCACGTCAGCACAATGAGAAGGCGTTTGCTAGCTCTCCCATGCTGATTCTCTGAATCCCTCTTGGATGGAGCAGGCTGCAAGCCAGGGGAGAATTCTGCTCTTGTCCAAGCCTCACAGTCCCCGAGAGCTGGGTCACTGTGTTACGCCTACCGAGCAGACTACCTGTGGACACACCTGCATCTCACAGCAGCAAGGCCCCGAGTTACCTGGTGTGGCTGTTGGAAGACAGGCTCTCCCAGGGCTGCACACTGCAGCCGGCCACAGCGAAGGCTCCCCCACAGCTGCCATCCAGCTTCATGAGCAGCGCCTTGGCCGCATTCTCAGCCGTCTTCCGGCAGTCATGAGCCCGTTTGAGCATCTGAGTGATGTTTTCATCCCCTGACTGGTCTCCTACATTACAGAGAAGCCAATAGATTAATCAACACAGATCTGGGTAAGACAAGCCTATGAGTGAGTTGGAAGAATCAGTTCTCGGTTACTCAGGACTGAGAAGGCATGCTGGAGAGGAACTAGCACAGGGTGGCGGCGTTCTGGGCCAGGCGCTGTCACTTAGAAGCTGTACTTAGGAAGGCATTTCTCTGCTCTGGGCTCCATGGTCCTAATCAACAAATGAAGGGTTGGCCCCTGTGATCTCTGAGGTCTGTTTTCAGCTCAAATATGCTATGATTTTCTAATTACCCAGGCTCCTGGCTTCTCCTCCCACCCTGTCACAAGTCTCCTGCTTGGCCGTCCTTCCCTGCATTGGCACTTCCTTGTGAATGAGGACAGGGAGAAACTGAGGCAAAACTGTGCCAGATCCCCCACGTCTAGTTTTGGTTAGAGCTTTGTGTAGGAAAGAGAAACAAACCTAATGGTAAAAGTGAGAACTTTTGACTGGCTTTGCATTGTCTGTACTGTGCTATCCCTGACCTTCCTCTCTCAGCTTGGCACAATCAGGGGTGAGCTCAGACACCTCCAGGAGCCAGGTAACTGGCTCAGGAGTGGTGGGCACCAGCACAGAGCCAGGCAGTAAATTCCCTGCCTGGGATGTTCATATTCTTGTTGTTTTGGAAACCATGCTGGCCAAAGAAGTGATTGGTATCTCTACGCCCTGAATCTGAGGTCTCCCAAATATTTTCAAATGAAATCTTACGCCAAAGCCTAAGATACAAACATGGAAATGCAGAACTGGTTGAAGTGGGCAGGGGTGGGGTCATAGAGTCAGCGCCCCCACCTTCCAAGCCCACTTCTGAGGTCCAAAGAAACCCCTCTGGCTTCCCAGGGTGCAGTTTAAAAACCACTGGTCTAAATCCATCTAGAGTGCACGGATGAATGCCTGTGCGGTCAACACGAAACACAGAAAAACCTCAAAATAATTGATACTGTGGGTAAACGTCACAAACTAGTACTGCCTTTGCTGTACAACTATTTGGAGTGTTAGGGCAACATGACAGGTCAAGTGTCCCTGTCAGCAGGATGGAAGAGTCAGGTTGAACAGGGAAATGCTAAAATTAAGGCAGCTTTCATTCAGCCTTACAGCGAGTGGGGTGGATAAGCGGGTGCACATGTGGCGCAGACTGAGATTGCCTGGTCCTCCCTCTGGCCATTTCTCTGTCACCTTTTGTGCCTTTCTTCCCTTCCCCAAATAAAATATTTTCCATGCACCTCACCCACTGACGGCTCTTTGAATTCAGAAGGAGGCATGATAATTACTGACTGGCTCATTTTATAAATATATCCACAAGCCATCCAGGATTAGATTAATACAGAGCATTTCATGATTGATTTTAAATATTTTAAATGTGGGATTTATCTAAGCCAGTCCAGTCCCTTCCAAGTAACTGTGATGAGTAGATACAAGCCTAATAAAAGGTGCCTTTCAAGGAGAGGATGGTTTAAGACATTCTTCTGATACAAACTGGAACTATGATGATTGATTTTTTCCCCTTTAATTGTTCATTTTCCTTAATACATATATTAAACAAGAACTTGAGAGCAGGCCAAGATCATTTTAGGATCTGTTTAATCTGAGGAATAAAGTTTTATGGTTCATTTAAAAGACCCTGAAAAATGAGGGTTTTAATGGAAATGCTGGCAGAGTTTCTACTTCTAGGCTGGGATGGTAATACTATTAAAAAAAAAAAAAGAGAGAGAAGAGGGGAGGATGGCCACCAGTACAAACAGAAGCCTTCCCTTGCTGGGTAACTTGGATATGAATCCGGAAATTAGTACCCAAGATGCTTCTTTTCCTTCAGATTTGCGTCAGATTCCTGCACATGTCAAAACTGAAAGAGGAAAAAATATCTGCATGTTCATTTGAAAAGCCAGACCCCCGGCAAGGAGGTAGGAGCTGGCAAGGATGGGGGATTCATTCTGGAGGGGCCCTGATGGTGTCTTCTTTGCAAGGTGTGTTCTGATAGGATAAGCCCTAATGGGGCTCAAAGCCCTTGAAGAAAAGCCAGTCCATGACAGCTGGCTTGGTCCCCATGGCTGGGGGCTCTTGGCCTGCCCACACCACCCCTCTCTGGCTGGGGAGTGATCTAGTCACTTTAGTTTTCTGTTTACCTGCCACGGCTTCTCCAAAGAAGCGGCTGTTATACAGTGTAGGCTCCAGCCTCGGCACTGAAACATTCAGCCTTTCTCCCTTGCTCTTTCTTTCCTTCCACTGCAGTCCTCCTCATGTTAGTGTAAGGCCCAGGGCCACAATCACTGGTGAAGTTTTAGTAAATGTCCACACTTGTGTCTTTTTCAATTAATGCCTCTTCTAGTTATTCAAAGGCGAGGGACAGAAGTTGGGGCAGTGTGAGGGAGCGGCCGGGAAGCGAGGTGGGTCAGTGGACACCTCTGCCGCACCTCGGGGCTGATGGGGCGAGCATTCTGTGAAGCTGAGGAGAGCAGGGTGAGAAACCATTTCCTCTGTGTTCATAAGACACCTGGAGACGAGGTAGAGGGAACTCATGCTTCAAAACTACCCCAAAGAACAAGACCCTGGAGAAAAGGCACAGCCAATAAAAGCTGCGAGATGAAGCAAAGGCCACATGGGCAGCATCACAGAGAAAGGTTGAAGAAAAGTCAGTCCTTTTCATCAAAAACATTGGCCTCCCATTCCATCTGGTTCTACTGTCAGCCTGGGAGGATATGTTTCCTAAGAGGGCTTGTTTGTTTTAACTTGTCTATACTTCTGTTTCCACTCCAGTTCTTGCTGCATTCAACATAAACAATTTACTCACTCAGTCATGAGGAAAAAAACGAAAAACACACTTGACAAGCAAATTTCATGTTGTCAGGGGGTGTTCCAATGCCAACAGCCGAGATGGGGGCAGTAGAACCAAAGAGGCAGGAGGTGAGGTGAGGGAGAGGGAATCGGGCCACACTTACCAGGGGAGGACCCCAGGCCGGCCGCACGGAACTGCCCCAGGATGAGGCTCTGCTCGCTTTCAGCCAGCGCCAGGAGGAGCTCGTAGGCTTCTATGCACTGCTCACTGAAACAGAAGCACATGGCATCCTCAACTCCGGCAGAGGACCCGGAGCTTCTTCACAGCAGCTCCAGACCTGCCTCTCAGCTCTGCTGTACAATGAGCGAGGAAACACCCTGGACAAAGCCAGGGCTTGCTCTGCTCTGTTGCCATCCCCGCCCCGCACCCCCGGCCCTTACCTTTAAACTAGGATCTACAAAAATACAGAAAAAAGCAATAAAAGTGGGAGAGGCAAGTTTGTTGCCCTTTAGATGATTAGCTAGAAGGGAAAGGTAACAGGCCCATGGCAGCCAGCCTCCAAGATGGACTCCACAGAACCCCCATGCTGGTAGCCACATCCTTGTGTCGTCCTTGGTACGTCACACCGTACTAGGGCTGGTCTGCGTGACTAAGAGAATATGGCAGAAGTGATGACTTGTCACATCCAAGGTTAGATTGTTAAAAAACACTGAGTTCCACTGTGATCCCTCTCTTTCCCTGCGCTTTCTCCCTTGGGTTATCCTCTCAAGGGGAGGCCAGTGCCATGTCTTGAAGACTCTTGAGCAGCCCTGTGGAGAGGCCCATGTGCTGGGGAACTAAGGCTTCCAGCCAGTGGCCACTGAAGCACTGAGGACTCCACCATACAACTGTGTGAATGAGCCTCCTCAGAAACAGACCTGTCAGCTGTAGTTAAGGTTTCAGATGACACAGTCCTGGCTGATGACTTAACCAGAACCACATAAGAGACCCTGAGTCAGAAACACCAAACTAAACCACTCCCAGATTCCTGACCCTAAAAATTGTGACATAATAAATAGTTAGATAATAATAGGTAACTAATATAACACCACAGGAAGGATAATTTTGACAGGAGAAAAGACTATTTTAACCTAGACCTGCACTATTCAATACAGTAGCCACTAGCCACATGTGGCTATTTAAATTAAAAAGAATGTAAGTTAAATGAAATGAAAAATTCAGTTCCTCCATTGCAATAGCCATATTTCATGTTTAATAGCCACATGTGGCTAGCAGTTACTACACTGGACCACACACAGAGAAAACAGTTCCATCATCACAGTTCTAGTAGATGCTTATAAAATTGTCTCATGAAATACACAATCTCTGCCAAGAGTTTGAATTTGGATTTCTAAAAGAAACATTAGTCTCTCTTCTTTGTACCCACCTTCATCAGGCACATCAGGTAGGCAATCAAGGGGCAACCCTTTCTCATCGCCACTGATGGCCCCACATGGACCCCTGTCGGCATGGGAGGTGAAGCATGTGTGCAATGCCTGAATGGTCCCAGACAAGATGTCTCCAGGAGCGAAAATCTCCCCCTAAGCAAATAACCTATGAGCTTCTCCAAGCTGAGCTGGGGAAATATTGCTTTACTCAACATTTAGTCAACAGACCATCTGTCTTTTGACTGTCTTTACTTTCATCTTCCTTTACTAAGAGATAAGGAAAAGGGCCCAGTCACTGGGTCTGGGTGCTGGCAGCTCCTCCTTTCATGGGCTCCACCTTTTGGGTTAGAGACGCTGGGACATTGCTTCATCCGTGAGGATGAAAGACAGAGCAGCCTGTTTCCAGAGTTATCAAAAATGGGTAATCTGTTTGCTTTGGTGTGTCTGTAAACAAGTAAGATTGCTCTCTAGCTTTGGTCTTGTATATTTTGGTTTGATTTTGTTTGTAAAGAAATGACGTTTCTTAAAACAATAGCAAACTTTTTAGAGGGTGCCAAGAGTGAGATATAGTCACTACTCTGGGACCTTGACAAACACACCTAAGTGGCGACACTAATAAAATAAACCTATGAAAACAATCATAAGGCACAGCTTTGTAGTTACTAAAAAAGCAATAATTTAAAAATAGATAAATTCCAAAACTGATGAGGCTGGAAAAAAGTGGTATAGTCACATACTACTTGCTCAACGATGAATGAATCGTAGTCATTTAAGCTGGCTTGTTTTTATAGGAAAAAACTGGCAGCATGCCTGAAGAGCCATGAAAATATTCTTATCTTCTGACCTATAATTCCTGCTTCAGAGAGTTTATCTTGAGGAAAATATTAAAAAGAATGAAGATATTATCTACATTAAATTATTCATCATAGAATTTTTTTTTTTTTTAGCTGAGCCATCCTGCCACCTGTTGGCAGCTCAGCTTGGGCTGGGACTCAAACCGCTGTTGCTCAGAGCTCAAACTCTTGAGCGAGCTCTTAACCAACTGAGCCACTCGGCTGGCCCCATAGAATTATTTTCAATGTCAAAAGTCTGCAAAAGTCTAAATGTCTTTTAGAGAAATGAGTAAATAAAATAATATAAAGTTGATGCAGGGGATACAGCCATTCAAAATAAATGGAGACTATTAAGGAATGCTGCAGAACTATATAATACATTGACTAAACAATGCACTAGATTTACAGCAATGTAAAATGTATACAAATGTGAATAAAGACTGAAAAGAACAACAAATGAATATGTAATACAAAAATTGATATTTTGAGAGATATTACTTGAGTGAAATAATAATTTAAATTGAATATGCAGGCAGAAACACACTGGTTTACTAACACCAAACTCATCACTCTTATTTCCTTAATTGCTACAAGGGTGCTCATTGATTTTCAATACGTGTCACACTAGTATTTGTTGGTCCAACCCCCCTGCCCATATGTCTTCTACAAGCCCACTTTCTAGGTGTATGCAGGTTACTATGGACACACCGCTGCATGAAAGGGCCCCTCCGTTGCCCACCTGTACTGAAGGGCTAGCCGGAGCGCTGTGGCGTTGGATTCGTATTTTCCCACCAGCATGCTCATCCTCTCAGCGTTGCTCTTGCATTCTTCCAGGGTTATGGTCAGGAGGTCATTTTGGGACTTGAGGTGTTCAATACGACTACAAAGGAAAAAAAAAATCTCTTTCACAATTTCACACCAGGATTGCCATTAATTTGACAATATTTTCATCATCTAATCTAGATTCAGCCGGAAATGCAGTTTAGAATATGAGCTTGTCAGATGTTTTAGCAAATGTCTCTGACGTGAAGTAATAAAGCAGGCAACTCCAAGTAAAAGGATAACTAAGCTCTGTGTGAACTGGAAATGAAAATAAGCCCCCTGGTTATTTCCCACCCAACTGTCGACACACCACATGCCAAGTACTGGGGATATACCAGGGTAAGGAGCCAACCATGTGACCTCAGGCCGTCATGAGAGGCGTACACTTTAATAAACCACACTCCACGGGGACAAATGAAAAGCAGCATCACAGTCATAGCTACTATTTGCTGGGCTCTTGCTCAATAACCTGCCCAAAGAGTCCTTTGAATTAATAATTATTCGTCCCATTTCTCAGAGAAGGAAGTAGAGACACAGAAAGGTTAAGTACCCTGCCCTGAGATTTGAACCAGGCAATTTGACCCCCCTGTCCTGTACCCTTAATCACTTATTATAGAGCAGAAGCAAAAGGTGAATCAGTGAGTGAACAAGAAACTGTCTTGAAAGGCCTCTGAATGGGAAGTGGACCAGGAACCAGGGAGGGTGTCCAAAGCATCTTTCAGGTTGGACAGTCCCCCAACTGCTAACTACTGGCGGGACAAGCAGCGGAAACTTTATACTTTATAGGAATCAGAACTATAAATTCAGAGTAAATTAGTTTATCAGGGCACTGATCCTCTAGGTGCCAACGACTCATTTTCCATGGGACACGCCCACTTGTAGTACTCTGACCACCAAGTCTTAAAGAGACAAAGGGTTTCACACACACAAAATGCAACTGACTCTTGAAATGTTAAGGGGCTTGGAAGCCATTTGCCTTGAGGATCAGTGTGACACCCAAATGGAAATAGCAGGAAAGAGCTGGATATGTGAGATTGGCACTTAGAAGAGAGGTCTGGGAGTCATGGAGACATAAATGCCTGTCAGTCATGGGAGTGGGTAAACGTCACCTCTAGGAGAGTGTTGATAGAGTGTTGATCATGACCCAAGTGAAGGAGAATATTTTAAGAAGGAAGGAGTAGCCCATTTGTGGGGTGTTATAATCTTACAACCGCACATCTGAGAGCAGACTATGGTGACACCCACACGGGAGATGCCTGGAGCGTGTATAATTAAGACAACTGTGAAGCTTAGGCAACTCCAAGGTCAATTCAATGTGAGGTGTTACAAGAATAAACTTTTCTGCCCTTGTTCACATTAAGGCCTCTTTAAACAGTCCCTGTGTTCTCCTTCACTTTTAAACTTGCTCCAGTATATTTATTGTACATTTGGTCCCCACTAATTAGGTAAAGCTGTTTATCCAGCTCACAGGCCTCCATATGGCCAAGTCCATCCTAGTGGCCTTCTCAGGCAACACCTCACAAATGGACTGCTCCTTCCTTCTTAAAATGTTCTCCCTCCCTTGGTGCATGACAGGTCTCTACTGGTTTTCTT